TAGGACCTCATTACTCCGGAGTCCCCACGCGCAGAGTAACATGCCTCATAGAGCCAGGAATGATTCTGGTCCACCTAGCCAAAGGCTGGTGGACCCAAATCCTGAGGGTCCTATAATAGTAGGGTCTATGAGCACTGCGCCAAAAAACCCCTATCACCTCAGGCAAGGTTCCTCCTCTCCGGAGTCCCCACGCGCAGAGTAACATGCCTCATAGAGCCAGGAATGATTCTGGTCCACCTAGCCAAAGGCTGGTGGACCCAAATCCTGAGGGTCCTATAATAGTAGGGTCTATGAGCACTGCGCCAAAAAACCCCTATCACCTCAGGCAAGGTTCCTCCCCAACCAGGAGTCCCTACAGACAGGAACGGAGATCGTTCGCACTCAGGGAGATTATAGTTACACGGTTCCGGTCACATTTTTCTGGGTGCGGCTTGACCGATCTTATTTACATACATTCAGAGCAGCGAATCCTCAGGGACCAAAGCAGGACCTTCCCAAGTACTAGGTAGAGAGAGACCCCACCCTAAGTTGGAAGAAATCATCGGCGCAGGACCTCCGCATAGACCAAGGTGACAAACGGCTGAGCTGAGGAGAAGAAGCCGGTCCAACTCAGCCCACCCGGCAGCTGGATTGCCCGAGCCGAAGCTCCGGGAGTTGACTCGCCGAACTCGGCTCTTCTATCTCAGAGGTAGTGAGCAGAATATTAAAGTGAGCATCACATACTAAGAAAGTGTACAAGAGTCATCTGGTCTACCTCCAAAGGTGCTCCCAAATCCTTGAGCACCCCCACCGAGAACAAGTCTTCTCACGACACAGTTCCATCTACACAAAGGCCAGCAAACCCCAAACCTCAATGTCCTACCGAAGCAGCTCCGATGAAGACTACACAGAAGCTCTCTATGTGAAACCCGTGGAACCAAACACAATCCCTTGTGAACAAAATAAGTGAATGGTGAAATACACTCACACAGCAAAAAGAAAAAGTGCACGAGAGTGCTATTGGTCCTCTCTGATGAGAAGAGCCACTATTTCCTGATACCACTGGGGGGCACAAGAACAAGGCTCCTGACCTGAAGCCTGGCAGACCCCAAAACTCTGAGACATGGCAAAACAGGTCCACCAGTACTAGGTTGGGGGCGCCCCAAAGAGAGATCTCATGAGCAGCAGTAGGCAACATAGAGGCTCTCAGAGAATCTATCACCTCAGGTAGAGTGTCCCTACATCCAGGAATGGGGATCAGGCCGGAGCCGGTATTATTTGAACTTAGGGAGACTATATTTGCACATGAACTGCAGTCTGGTTGCACAGGTTCCGTTGTGGGGGTCGGGGGGGGGTTGGCTGGGTTTCCAGGCAAATTTAGATTTGCGGGAATGCTTGACTCCTCTGATTTACGTATAATGATTTACATATTCATTGCAGTGACTTTTAAAGCCCACAGTGCACGCAACAAAGACATTCTTCCCCTAGGAACCAAAAAAAAGGAGTCATTAAAATCACTGCACACTAAAATCCCAGGAACCAGAGAGACAGGGCCTTAAAATTCCCCTGACCAGAGCAAGGATGACTCAGGTGCACCTAGCCAAAGGCCTTCAGAACACAGGAACCAAAGAGCAAGGATGACTCAGGTGCACCTACCCAAAGGCCTTCAGAACACAGGAACCAAAGAGACAGGGCCTTAAAATTCCCCTGACCAGAGGAAGTACGACTCCGGTGCACCAACCCAAAGGCCTTCAGAACCCAGGAACCAAAGAGCAAGGATGACTCAGGTGCACCTACCCAAAGGCCTTCAGAACCCAGAAACCAAAGAGCAAGGATGACTCAGGTGCATCTACCCAAAGGCCTTCAGAATCCAGAAACCAAAAGAGACAGGGCCTTAAAACTCCCCTGATCAGAGCAAGTACGACTCAGGTGCACCTACCCAAAGGCCTTCAGAACCCAGGAACCAAAGAGCAAGGATGACTCAGGTGCACCTACCCAAAGGCCTTCAGAACCCAGGAACCAAAGAGCAAGGATGACTCAGGTGCACCTACCAAAGGCCTTCAGAACCCAGAAACCAAAGAGCAAGGATGACTCAGGTGTACCTACCCAAAGGCCTTCAGAACCCAGGAACCAAAGAGCAAGTACGACTCAGGTGCACCCACCCAAAGGCCTTCAGAACCCAGAAACCAAAGAGCAAGGATGACTCAGGTGTACCTACCCAAAGGCCTTCAGAACCCAGAAACCAACGAACAAGGATGACTCAGGTGCACCTACCCAAAGGCCTTCAGAACACAGGAACCAAAGAGGCAGGGCCTTAAAATTCCCCTGACCAGAGGAAGTACGACTCCGGTGCACCTACCCAAAGGCCTTTAGAACCCAGGAACCAAAGAGCAAGGATGACTCAGGTGCACCTACCAAAGGCCTTCAGAACCCAGAAACCAAAGAGCAAGGATGACTCAGGTGCACCTACCCAAAGGCCTTCAGGAACCAAAGAGCAAAGATGACTCAGGTGCACCTACCAAAGGGCTTCAGAACCCAGAAACCAAAGAGCAAGGATGACTCAGGTGCACCTACCCAAAGGCCTTCAGAACCCAGGAACCAAAGAGCAAGGATGACTCAGTTGCACCTACCCAAAGGCCTTCAGACCACTATCCTGAGGTAGCAGACATCCCTCATGGATCTACCAAAGTAAGTCCTATGAGCACCGGTCAGAGTGTTCTCAGTGCCCCTACCACCTAAGGCACCATACTCCACAGTCAAAAATCACTACATCCAGGAACGGGACTCAGGGAGACTATATTTACACTTGAAATGCATTCTGGTTGCACGGGTTCTGTGGATGAGGGGGAGGTGTGGTTTCCAATCAAATGTTTCTGGGGGTGCTGCTTGACTTATCTGATCTACACCTCATTTCCGTACATTCGGAGCAGCAAATTGCGTATTCATTGCAGTGGAGGGGTTTTTTCCCCCGTTTTTTTGGAAGTCTGAGATGCTTCAAAGACGTCGTCACCTCTGTGAACAAAATAAGTGAATCTTAAAACCACAACTCACCCAAAAAAAAACCAAAAAGGGCACGAGGGTGCGTCTTGTTCCTCTTCTGAAGTGAAAAGGTCACAAAACTCCACCCCACCCCACCCCACTCCACTGTGCACAAGGCTCCTGACAGAGAAAAGGACAGGTCAGGTCCACCTATGGACCCCAATCCCACCAAAGTACATCTCATGAGTAACACGGATGAGAGCTCTACTTTCTCGAAGCCTGTGGAACGTGCGTCTAAAAAAACTTCCCCCTGTGAACAAAAGAAGTGAACCGTGAAATCACAGCACACAAAAACGTGCACAAGGGTGCTTGGCCCTTCATGGGACCTGCCGGAACAGGTCCCTCACAGTACTAGGTAGGGGGGCTCTCCCAAAGAGAGACCCCCCTCCTGGGTGGGAGGAGACAGAGAACCCTGTATGAGGGCACAGAATCTCCTCCCCACATCGGGAAAAGGCCCCGAAGGAACCTGCACCCTCCGCAATCTGTGAACCAAATTTGATGAGAGCTCTACTGATTTTCTTACATGACTGGCCAACTTTGTTTCTGGGAAGTCCCACAAGAGAGTGGGAGAAGGGGGATGGGGCATTTCCGGTTGGATTTGAACTTAAGGAGACACATTTTGGAGTAAAAAACACTCAAGGAAGTGGACCCAGTTAATAAGAGGGGGGGGGGATCGGTGATGTGCAGATCTGGGGGGGGTGTTCATTCAACTTCTATCAATGAACATTTGGACTTAGGGAGACATAATTTTGATTTTAAAAAACCGAAACATATATTTTATTTCATACCTACGACCTACCTACAGGATTAGCGGACCCCAATTCTCAGGAACCTTCCAAAGTCCCTGGGGGTCTTTTTATTAAGCCCGTGGAGCGCGCTCGACAACGAAATCCCCTGTGAACAAAAAAAGTGAACCGTGAAAACACAACGCACAACAAAACACGTGCTTTGGTTCCTTTCTAATGAAAGGGCCACAATTTTTCCGTCCAAAATATTGGAGTCGCTCTTCATATTCTCCACAAGGTGGCGATCTCAGTTATCAACAGCGGAATTCACACAGGAAGTCCATCTCCCTACAGACAGGAAGTGATGTCACCTATAAATAGGAAGTTCCGGGTGAGAGGTGAAGTTGGGAGGAAGTAGAGAGGAGACATTGTTGGAACTGGCAGCAGAGGAGGTAAGAAGATATTGTTTTATATACTCCCCCCGTCATGTCCGTCCTCGTCCTCCATAGTCCCTGTGAGGTCTTTTATCTCCGCCAGATGCTGATCAACATGAAAACGCCGATATAGAGTCTTATCCCGTCATCTGTCCGCAGGTCCGGTCTAAATATTAAACCATTTACCCAACTTTACATGAAGACACGCTGCGTTCCTCCCGAATAGATCACATGACCATGTCCATGAAGATGGAGGAGGACCGAAGTCACATGACCGAGAGGATACTGAACCTCACCCTGGAGATCATCTACCTGCTGACCAGAGAGGTGAGGAGGATTCTGGGAGGTCACATGACATCACTCTTATCTCTAGTCATAAAACACGGACCTGACCGGAGAGGTGCGGAGGATTCTGGGAGGTCACATAATATCCTCGTTCTTTCAGAGTTTTCCTCTTCTGAAGTCCGGTGACCGTGTGACCATCAGGGTGCCCCCACGTGGTTCCCTAAAACCCGAGAGACAGAACATGGAGAAGGTTCTAGAAGTCACCAAGAAGATGATGGAGCTGCTGACGGGAGAGGTGAGCGGTGCCGGGAATTCTGGGACATGGTCCAGGAACAGACAAGGGGCGTGTCTGGGTGGTGACGGGAGAGGTGGGCGGTGCCGGGGATTCTGGGACATGATCCAGGAACAGACAAGGGGCGTGTCTGGGTGGTGACGGGAGAGGTGAGCGGTGCCGGGGATTCTGGGACATGATCCAGGAACAGACAAGGGGCGTGTCTGGGTGGTGACGGGAGAGGTGAGCGGTGCCGGGGATTCTGGGACATGATCCAGGAACAGACAAGGGGCGTGTCT